TAAAACGTAATGCGTGGCACATAATATTATTATGTAATGTTCCTTTTTGTGGATAACGTTATCAATGTCGTACAGGCGTAAACTTATAATAACGATTTATGTCCTGCAAACAGCCGCCATTTTTCTAGATTATTTAACTCGTTATCAAATGCTAAACTAGTGAGTAGATTTCTTTTTTCAGCTAAACGCAAAACGACCGTTGACTAAACCGTAAGGTAGGCGCTGGTGCTAGTGCGACGGTTATAGCATTTGTATTTTGCGTGTAGATAAACTGATGAGAGGCAGACTCTTCATTCTAAGTTTTCGTTTCGTTTTGGATGCTGCTGATATACCGGCGTGGTGTTTCTGTCACTGACACGGTGTTTATTTATATTAAGCAGAGACTTTTTTTTCGCCATTAAATTATTACTATCAATATAAAACCGAATTTTTAACTAGGACATTGTGTACACTAAATTAATAATAACATATTTAGGAACCAAATAGATTTAATTAACACCCTTTAACACCCTGTCCCAACATATTACGGTGTTACCGCGGAACTGTGGAAAGAAAAAGGTCTCTCGAACTAAATATATTATTATATTCAAGCTGCAGGTACTCGCAGTAATGCACGTATAATATAATATAGAGTAAGATTTAATTAATAATGTTATTATAGTATTATTCTATTACAGGAAATAATTAGTTCAATACTGATTTTAAAATATACTCGATCTATCCAAGATTGTGTACCAACCTATCTAATTTTAGTCATGTGTTGTTTCTGAATTGCAATGATTGAGTTGTTGTTAAAATATGTTCTTGAGAGTTTCTTCAATACATGAAAAAACATACATTTTCAACAAAAATCTATCAAACAGAGTGGACGATTGATCATGCGATAAACAGAGGTTGTAGACGAGGAGATTTGTACTTTATCTGTTCTTAGTATGTTGTTGTAATATTTAAAAAGGAAAACGTTAAGTATGATAATAAATTAGAGCATAGAACATTTACACGAAATTATAATATAGTATATTGTATTATATGTATATATTTAAATCATTGTTTCCCTAGTATTGTATGATCGGTTAAGTGTTTAAATTGAATTGGCAGAAAAAGGGAATCGGTCGTTATCAGTTTTTGTCGAAAAGTATGCTGGCCGAATAGGTTTACGCCCAACTATGTATGTACAAGGCTATAATATATGCTTTGTGTCAAGCCTGAAAAAACACATAACATTTATTGTAAAAACAATTATTTTAAGTAACAGAAAAATAAGGATAAATAAGCGTGGATTTAATTAATAAACCCATGCGCGCTCATTTGGAAATACAATAGTATAATGTTCATTTACCAAAAGATACTAATCATGAGATTGGCTAAGCTGCAGATTTAATTGAAATTAAAGAAGAAAAATAATACATTATATGTTAAAAAACAATATAATGTGTTGTTTCACTAACAGAGCTGTTATAGTATTAGGTTAGCTATTTTCTAAAATCATAATATTGAATTAACATTTTCGGGTTTCCACCAATGCGCGTATGCCGACGTGATGCGGAAATAATACATTTTTTTTCCATTTAACTAAAAATATTAATGAAAAAAAAAACGTGTATTTGAATAATTTGTTTGCGCTCGCGACATAATCTTTCATTAATATTCATACACGGAGTATTATCATTGTATTATTATTATTTTTTTAACTTGTCAGTCCCGCGTTATTGTGTTAACAAACCATAAATTAACAATACATCTAAACGATACTATAAACAACAATGAAAATGCAGGGTCATTTTTTCTGACTTAATTAATGTGAACCGTTGAATATAAAACAAAGCTTTTCCGACGAGACGCCAAGGAGTCTCTTTAAAACTACCTGTAAAGGAAAAAAACAACTATAAAAAAAAAAAAAAAATACCACTCCATAGATCCACTTCATCAATAAGCCCGTATATTTACAGCCGTTTATTTTGTATATGAAAAATACAATTTCTATAACATTGTGTATCCTGATTAGATATAGATTTTATGTAATTATAGCACAGTGTTCGACCAAGTGTCGAATTATATTGGCTGTCATAATATGCGAAACTTTACGGGTCAGGCCAAGTAGGCCCCGGCCATCAGTGACATATTTTGATTTATTTGCTAATGAAATACCTTTTATAATTATTACATATAACTATATATTATGTACAAGTTTATATAGGTTAATAATAATTGTACTTTTCGACTACAACAATTTCTTACGGCGTACAATAATTATTATGTTATGTGGTTTTCCCAAAATGTACCAATGACTTTGAAAGGTCACGCCGAGCAAATGAGTTTGTTCCAATTTCCAATAAGGTTATTCTTTAAGCTAAGTTAGATTACATAAAGGAAACGTTATTTGCTCGGAATTTGACCTGTATAGAGAAAAAAATATTATTATTAGCGGTTAAAAATGGCGATGATCGGTCTAATTAACACACGTACGATAAACAAGATTGTGTTCTACTCTTTACTGATTGTGAGTCGCGGATTGTTAAATTTTCTTATTTTATTGAGTTAATCAAACATAATTAAACTCAAACAGCAGCTGTTACTTGTGTTTTTGCCATCGGGAAATTCATCAAAACCTTGTTTGGATTCATTACTAATTTCTCTGTTTGATAAAAACATAATTTATCATGTAAATAAAAAAAGGCCAATAGTAAAATAACAAAGAGCAATTAAATTGTTTACATTGAATCGTGCTGTCAGTTAGAAAAAATAAAAATATGTAATTTTGTTTCACTCGTATATTTTAATAGCTTGATTGAGTTCAAAGCTAACAATAGATTATAGTATGAAACGAAAAATAACATGCGTGGATTTTAAAACACCAGCTAACAATACATAAAATTACCGCATAGTGTTTTCCTCCGCAACCGAAACAGCTCTAATTTCAATAGTAGTAAAAGGATATAACTGTTAAAGAAAAAAAAATACCGACCTACAACTGTTATTAACGGCTAGTCCCGGAAAACGTTCAATGATAAAAGAATAAACCAGGCTGTATATTATAGTCATACAGGTAATGTATGTGTAATACATGCATGATTTTGACAGTTGTTTGACAACAGTTCGTTACCATTCATTTTTTTTATAAATACAATATTATTCCAGTAAACGCCAATACAAAATCAAAAATCACGACCACTTTTTTTCTACAGTAACATTTTACGCGTTTCCACCTTTACGGCCTATTAAAAACCATTCAGTAAAGGTAGATGTGACTCTACTGCGCACGGTTTGGGTTCAAAGTGTCGTTGTAAAATATATTGTATTGTCTATAAAATATGTATCTAGCGTACAGGCGATAAAAAATCGTCGTTATATTTGGCGGAATGTCAAGATAATAAACAACCGTCACTACTCCTATTTTAATAAAACGAACAGTAAAAAAACATATCAATTACTGAAAACATTTAACGGACTACGTTAATATAACAATAACTTTCCACAAAATTATGGCTGTATAGAATTTAGTGGCTTTTTGATATATTTTATTATTTATTTCCGTTGTGTTATAGATTTTTTATTGAACTAAATTTAATTTACAATAGGCGTCATTTAATGCAAATCAAATTCGCTTATCTAATTGTAGTTTAATTTTAAAAAAATCGATAAGTTCAGTGGTGTCACAGCGATTTTGACATGCTTTTTACGCGACACAAATTATGTGCTTTTAAAAAAATATGTACATTTATTATTATAGCATGTTTTACGATTTTGACGATTACGGCCACGCGAGCAAAAGAAGGTCGTTTAACAATTTCTCGTACGGTTTTTACAATATTATTTAAAATAGTCTTAACCGCCTAAGACATTATCATTGAACGATATCTTTCTGTACCCTTTGGTCGTCCAACCGCAACTCCAATGTTTATCTATTGTCACATTAATTTTGCTATTTCTCTTATAATTTTGTTTCCTTGGAGATACAGAGCTGGACAGTAGAAACGTCTATCGTATCTTCGCGACTACCTTACACTGATTTATTTCCGCATATTGTCATCACTTCTCAATCGACTGTATGGGTTTTTTTATTTATTTTTTTAATTGATAATAAAAATAATGTATTCCTACCCATAAGAACTACCTGTTGTGCTACACGGTCGTTAAATAATTTTCAAGTCTAGCGAGTCTATTAACACACAAAACTTTCGTTTGCGCCTTCCTGCACTCGTTTTCGACTCGTTCAACCTAACTTTTTATGTTTCAATAGTTTCTGGTTTCCGGCAAATATATATATAGACGACAGCTTCTGTCGAAACTACAGTTTCGCAAGAATTTATACGCCGCGTGTAAAGGCGAGTGGGAAAAAAAATCGATATTAATTTTGAACTCCATTCGATTTCATATTATATTGACTATTGTGCTCGAACGGATACGAACAAACGACTACCGAACGCGCCGAATTCGATGAATTTTGATTTGGACTTCACCGATCCGGTATAATATTGCACCTATCCAATATTATGTGCGTTTGTCCGGCGGCAAATCTAATAATGTCAACAAACCCGTCCTTTTAGGATAGTGGAAAACATCAAAGAGAAGCCACTGAACTCGATATAATATACGAGACGAGTATTCAAATTGAAAAATGCAACCATTTTGTGTACCAATTTCGTAGAATGTAAAAATGTTCAAATATTGGGTTAGATCACCGTCGCATATCACAGACTATTTTCATATTATAGTCTGTGGTCATGTACTAAATAGAAACGTTAGGTTAGGTGATGATGTCATGATGATACCTCCGTCGTTTATTTTATAAATCCTAGAAAAAAATATTACATATCATGGACAAAACAATAACTGTTCACAAAATAGCAGCCTCCAACTAGGGGACATTTTCATAAGCAACCGAATATATAGGCAATACGCGTTCCATACGTTGAATTCAGTGAAACAAGCTTACAGAGCGCTTTTAACAATGTTAAATATTATATTTATATAACACGGGTATGAATATCTTTTTGCAGAAGAGAAAAACTTACACCTGCCGACGGACGAATCCACCGAGAATCTCTTGTTGGCCTTCTTGAGAGTCTGCAAGTTCTATCCGGAAAGCGCATTCAAAAGGGTATGTACTTGTAAAGTTGCGCATTGCTATGCGTTTTAATTGAAAGCCACCCATTTTGCTGGTCTTTGTGCACGTTGTTGATGTGTTTGTTTAACAAAACCACGTCGATTTTTTTTTTTAATTTCAGGTGAAGAATTTGTACAAATTGCGACAGAAAAACCCGAAATATTGCTCCGACCTAATACCCAGTTTGGAAAAGAACGTGTTCTCCCAAAACATTCTCACGGTTTTGCCGTCACGCGACCAACACGGCCGGCGGATATTGCTCACAGAAGTCGGACGTAAGTACAGTTATTGTCTAAGTCCACGGTGCTTCTCCTTCTCTCACCCACCCCCTGAACACAGCAACACCCTACAGCTACCCTTTTTTATATCCCCGGTAAATGAGTTTTTCAAAATTATATTTGACCAACGCAGTATGGAAAGTGCTTCACCCAATATCGCCAATGAGAAATGAATACGCCAACATACACTTATAAATACTGGTTTTTATGTAAATATCGTATGAACCTGTCGGTCATTTTGTTTTAAATAATACTGCGAATAGCTGGTAACATAGATTGACCAACAAGACATTAGTTGAATATTTTTTAGTGCTCACTTGTTTTCATCGTAGCGGCCGTTATGTAATTACTTATATGATGTTAAAATAATATGTTGACATCGACTCCTAAAACAAAACTAGGTACCTACTTAAGTATATGTACATGAAAACACCTTGTTCTTGCTCAAAAATTGACGTTCACGGATTACAATTTGATGATCCTCGAACAGGAAAAAACAATATTTATCATTCTATATACAGGGTATTAGACTTAACGTAAGACATTAACTTTCTTTGATATTATTTTTGTGATATTTTAATTTAGGATCATTTACAATATTAGGAAATATTTTTATCTTTTCTTGGTAAATTCCAGAGCTATGTCAATTTTTGAAACTTAAGTAATAACATACATTATATTTTATTACTTAATACAATTTTGACTTGTTCATAACCAATTTTAAATAGTTATTTTTAAACTTAATAAAGTTTAATACGACAGGAAGTTTAGTATTATTTTTATTATGCATTAGTCAACCGTACTTCACCTCCCATTATACATTTTAAACTTTAATAACACTAAAAGTAATTAATCCTTAAAACTGTTTATGTATAATATTTTCAGTAAACTATTTTTATTTCAAACAATTATATAAATTAACACTTATTATTTAAATTTCAAAAGCTGATAGCACTCAAGAAAGTATCAAAAATATATAATAAGGTAATATAATTATTAAAAATGTTTTCAAGGAGAAAAACTAGAAATTGTAATTATTTTTAAAAGAAATTTAATGTTTTACGCTAAGTTGATCATCCCGTTTGTGTCCTTATGACAGATGGGCCAGGCAAATTCAAATATAATTTAAATACTGCCTATCTCTGGCCTTAAAACTGGATAATTCTGTTGCCAGAATCCCAATTCGCTTACACGATTTAATGATCTAGTCGGTCATTGTCCACAGTGACCAGTCAAATAAAATATTATTTCCTAGTTAATTTAAATTAGAGTAACTTGTGGTTTTACTATAAAATTACCGGGAAACCCTATCCACAATAAAAAATTGTAAATTGTTATTTTCTATTAAAATAATACGTTATGCTCTATTAACTATTATAGATTCTATATTATTGTCCTGATTAGCCAACGATTCAGCATACCATCATTAAAATTAATTACCCCTTCGCCTCACTCGTTTGGTTCAATTAACGACTCCATTCATAATAGTTATGCTGTTGTGGATTTTGCCTTACATTTCGTTCATTAGCATGTACACGCGTGAATATTGATAGTATAACGCCTTTCGTTGAAGTCACAGATTTAAATTTTATTGATTACAATAACAGTAACAATATTAACATTATTACTATGCACTTTTTTTGCGTCCCTTGGGCTCACAAAACATTATAATAACAACAAAAGAACTACAAGATACCATTTGAATCCTTTAGTTCTATTTTTTTTTTTTTTTTTAACTAATAACGTTTAAATATTATTTTTACCACTAAAGTTCCCGGCAGCGGTTTACTCGTATAAATGTTTTGCCAATTACTGTTTTCGACATAATCCTCTTTAACCTTTTTTTCCTCCACACTCTGTTAATATTTATTTGGGCGACACCCAATAATACACTTTACGGATTCATTATCATATATATATATATATATATATATATGATCTTTTCTCACGCTTAACCCTTACAGACCGAAGCCACACGATCGTGAGGGTACGCTCAATACTTTTTTATAACACCATTGAAAACGAATGCTCACGATCGTACAATTTACTATACAGCATAAGAGCAAAAAAAAATCTAAAAAATTTAAAAAAAATGTCTTGGTCTATAAGAGTTCTGGTATGTTTACAAAGTGCTTCGCTGAACACTCACTTGCTCTCTAATCACCTTTCTGAGAAAATTGCAAATAAAAGTTTATCTGGTTTGCAGAGAGGTGGAAAGTAAAGAACTGCACGCTAACCGAGATCTTCAGGGGCGTCGAATTGGTAATAGAGGCTGCAATTTTGGAACCCAGAACGCAAGTATCCGGTACGGCGCTCATTATCGACTTTGCCGGACTGACCGTAAACCACGTGTGGCAGTTCACTCCTAATTTCGCCAAACTAGTCTTGGACTGGATACAGGTAAGCGACCGATCGACAGACTTTTAACTAGCGAAACTAGTATAGTATAACATGTTTATATATTTATTTATTTAACGCCGTAACGGAAATTTCGTAATGGAATACATGTAGGTAGTTAACTAATGCAAACAACTGAATTTAAGTGGCCTAAAAGTATGATTTTCTAAGAAGATAAAACATTCTATGGAGAGAGTTGTACATGTAAAATATGGAGCGATTTTTCATAAGGTAGGCTGGAACACGGATTGAGACTAAGGAGAGTAAGTCAAGAGCATTATATAGAGCCATTAAGCAAGGTCCAAGGAGAAACTAAAATAAGCATCAGTCTCAACACGGCGTGGTGAGGCTAAAGTAGAAATGTCTAAAGAATAACGAATAATGGAATAATAGTGAAGAGGGGCGCAATCTTAAGAGTAAAAGCACTATAAGACAGACAATTATTTTACACTCGCTCAACGGTTCCATGGCACTGCAACAAAGGAAAATTGAGCGCAAGAGAATAATTAAGCTTCTAGATATATTTTGATATTTTTCCAATATTAAACATATATTTTATATCCAGCGCCACGGACTTGGAGCAAGATATGTATGTATATGAAGTATATACATAAAATTACTTTCTTTACTTCAATATTGAACAACTACATAATAATAATTATGTAAAATATTATTATTACCCGATGTTGTCGCACGTTGCTGTCGACCGGCGCCATAAAGATTAGGTGACTACAACACGGATTAGTCATGATATGACGCCCCACAAATTTCAAAAATGATAAGCACATCAGCTATAGAACGATGTAGTAACGTAAAACGATTGTGTTGGATCTATTGGAAAACTATTGATTGTCTGTTGATCAATTTTATTAGCTATTCGCGCTCTCTGGCCGGAGCTTTTAATCTTTGTCTGCGCCAAATTTTCCCGTGCTCAATTTTCTATGTTCAGGTAACGTAACAGTATCGCTCAATACAGAGTTGACAACTATCCAAAAATACAGGTGCCATACGGCCACACCATACTTCAAAATAGAACGGTCCAAAGAGAAATAATGAGACGGAGACGTGTTATGGATGTGAAGAAACTATAGAGTAAAAGCCCAAAATGTTGAGCGCTCTATTTACTGGAAAGGTAATGTGCTGATCAAAAGAACAAGATGGAATGAGATATAAAATCCTAGATCATTAACGGAGAAAACACGTTGAACTAGTCATTAAGGAAATAAAAATGGTAGACAAAAGCAAAACTCCTGTTAAAAAACATAATAATATGACATTTATCGAGGTTGAAAGTGAATTCAACACAGTGAACCTAATAACTGCAAAAAGATTCAAGTTCAGATTGCAAACCAGGCAGTCTGCGGGGGAGTAAATTTTCTTGTCTAATTTAACATCATCAGTAATTATAAGTACTTTATGGATCGTGAGAGTTAATTGCTTAGAGAATTGATGAAAAGGACAAAAGGGAGCAGACTGAGATACTAAGACCAGAAACTATACATTACGAACATCAAAAAATTCCATATTTTTTATACTTACAAATTAATTGTAAATATATGAAGGGCACAGGAGAAAAACGGTAGTTGTCACATTATGAATGTTTTTTTTTTCAATTTATGCCAATAATTGTTTTTATTTATGTCAATAGATTGTTTAAATAAATACATTTATTGTTAAAGTGGTATTTAATGTGATTTTTTTTTTGTTCTTGTGTAAGAGGTAGAGGAATTCACGAACTTTGTTTTTGCTATACTCTAAAATGTTCATAATGTGACAACTACCGTTTTTCCCCTGTACCCTTCATATATATACACGAGACTACTTTGTTTAAATTCTACGCTATTTTACTAAACAATAGTACTAGTTTTTAGACACTATACTATAAATATAATACATGACAAAAATACTATAATTATGCTTTATGTTTGAAATGGATATAGTGGTGGTGCTGGTTAGTAAAGAGTTAGATATCGCGCCAAATCATACCTTATTTTGCATTTAGAATTTTGTTTGTACTAGACGCCCACCAAAACACACTGTATACGACTAATTCGTATGGAAAAAAATGTATTAATTTGTTTTCATTATTTTCAGTCTGATAATAATTATATCTCTGATTACGTTTAAACTCATCAAAATTATCTAAAAATATAAAACTAATAATTTTATTAAATAAAAATATATTTTATTAAACAAAAAAAACATTTCTCAATAGACCTAACACCTGAAAGATAGATTACAAGGCAATTAGTAATTATCATCAACAAAAGGATTAGGTATGTAAAAATGCATTAAGGTTTTTTATTAGGAATTCATTTACTCTCTTTATCCAACATAATAAATCAGGGACAGGATAGTTGTGTGCTTTAATTTAAGAAAGAGTTACATATTTTTAATTCATATCTACGCACAAACTTATTTTTGCTTTGGTCTCTAATGAGATACCAAACCTTAATTTCCATTTTGATATTATTCCTAAACTTACAAAAAGATGATGTGTATATATCGTGTAGTATATGTTTTGTTTATAGTACTTATATCTTATCTACTATTATTAGTTGTTACCGTTCCGTTTTGTTAAATATTATTGTGTTTCACTGTACTTTATTATCCACGAGGCATAAGCAAATAAATAAATAATACTAAGTATATTATGAATGAAGTCTTATCTCTTGTCCGGTGACGGTTTTTAGATTTATCTTAAGACTAATATTTTTCGCTCTGAATATGTGCAAATTTGACTATTATAATTTTGTCGATATTTAGGTAAGTTGTTGTCAGTGTTCCAAATTAGTAGAAGGGTCATATTTTTGTTTACACTGTAAGCGTCTTTAATTTGAAGATCTAGAGAGTGAAATGTGACATGAAAATTGTTAAAGACATGGAAAATTGTTTGATAAAATAACAAATTAACGTGGTAGGGGGTCCAGGCAGAGAGGCAGGTGATTTGATCTAAAGCAACAAAATCCTAAACACACCTGCGAGGGCCTGTTTTATTTTAATCAATTTCATGAGCCTACCCTGTCGTCCATTCGTGCCCGCCCTATTCTCTAATAACCTCTCCGGTCTTATTACTAATTAAGTATACATTCCGGTTTGTGCTCCCCGCTATTGGCATTTTCTCTAAACTACCAGTTATCTGTACAGAGCGGCTTATGTTGCTTTGACAGTTTTGCATAGAAATCGTGTAAGTTGGTACTCAAGCCGGCGTTGTGTAAGAGAAATGATTAATATAGATAATGAACAGTTCAATCAACAACTATATAGCTGTTCTATTTATATGATTTGCTAGAAATCACTCGACTCCGCTAGTCAATATTAAACCAACAAAACAATGTTAGTAAACTTATTAATGTGGTTGTTATTTCAAAGGTGATTTGTTTCACTGTTGTTTTGGCTACGACTTGGTCCACGGTGGTGTCAATAACTGTAAAATGCAATATTGATCATTTTCCCAATAAGAATCGTCGGCGGTGATCCGTTAAACCACAAGGAACATTTTATACTTACTGTTAAGATCCCGGCGCTTTTCAGCCGTTAGGCCCGTCTGTCTGTGGTCGTCATTATTAAATAAAAAAAAGATTTCGCGATATAACGGGGTAATCAACGATATTAATACCGTCCGCGTCGTTTTTTTCGTTTAGAATGTGTTTATATTTATTATTAAGCCGATAAGACCGTAAAAATTAATGGTTCCAAGTGAGACGAATAAAAACAACCGATGCGATTTTCTTGCCGCTAAATAAATAATAATATTAATTGCCCAACTGCGTCCGAGGCGTTCAGTGCAGTCCGGCTTAGACGGACACAATTGTTAGGAATTAAAATAAAAATAAAATCTAAAATAAAAAAAACATGTCCTAGAACCATAAAAAAGACTATACAATGCACGAAAACGCTACCATCAAACCCAAACAAGTCCGACGTCGGTAAGAGTAATTAAAAGAAAAACTTTATGTAGAGTTTTTATCTTTTTTATTGCGAAAAAGAAAACGCTCAACCCATATATTAATTTTCTTCTATTACCTTAACTGCAGCTCAATGCTGGTTTAAAACAGCAGTACGTCTGAAAACTGGTAAATTTAGGTCGGCCCTGTACGATTTTCATATACCTATTGGACATAAGTACAGAGTGTCTTTATTAAATATAAATTATCAACATTGAACGACGAGAACTGAGAAAAGGCTTTACGATAAAATATATAAATTAAAAATAATAAAAGTCATGATGAATAACCTCAAAGGTGTTTTTATAGGGTTTATTTTTTACACACGAAATAATAAATAATGTGTCTATAGTCTATACAAAGGGCAAAGGTCAATAGATAGCTTTAATAATGCTAATGTGCCAGATCAAAGGTACATAAAAAACAATAAAAAAAACGTTATTCGTTACTGATTTATGTATATTGACCTGAATAATGTGCGATACGGACATAGAATTAAACTTTATCGAAAACCTAATTGGCTTTTTAGGTCAGTCGTATGTTATCATAATATATTATCAATTATTATTTTTACTTAAGTGCATGAAAAATAATTAATCTAGGGAAAAAATAGTTTGCAATCTATGTAAAATATAATTCTATTAATTATCATATATATTGATTTAAAGAGATGTAGATGAGTGATTAAATTGTAATTTTTACAATACCTGTTTTGTGCTTCAAGACTCATTGTACCTAAATGTGGTATTTTATACTAATATCCACAACTAACAAAAACTTGCACAGTATTAAAAAAAAAACTAAATATGAACAAAATGCTGTCGGGTCTATTGTTGACTGTGGTCACTAGTTTGGAATACAAAAAAACACTATGTAAATAACTACAAGTTGTGTTATAAAAAGTACTAGTTAAGCAAAACACAAAGAATAGCCAAATAATAATTTGACAAAAAAGTATGTAACTTGAACAGTAATCATTTATACTTAATAATAAATTATTTACCTATATTAAGTGATTCTAATAAAGAAAATAATACATTTGTACATACTGAACGGTTTAAGACGGAAAATAATTGAAAATAAAATCTAATACACCAACAACTACAATTCTCAAATTTGGTGTAATTTATCAAAAAAAGTTTATTTATAAAAACAATATTAGTATAGTAAACATGTTAGGATTAAGTCTTAGCCGATGTACAATCTGTGTTACACTTGTTTAACCTCTAACGATTTCACATAAAAATTGCATATTAATTAGTGGAAATAACAATAAATATAGTAGTCCGAACTCCGAACATAGGTTCTAAAATTATTTGCTAACAGTTAACCAATATAGACATGCGTTAATTGGAACTTTTGATTGATTGGCATTTTTTTTTATAAATAAAAGCTAAAAAAGTTCACAGATTTTAAATTTAAAGTTTAGGAATACAGGGGTATTTAAAAAAAACACAATTTTTTTATTAGGTTTGGTCATTGTTTGCAAATACCCATTTTTGGATTGTCAAATTCATAAATCTCTTTCAACGCACACAATATCATCGCACAACCGTTATATACAGTAGTAATAATATTAAGCGGTATGCTTATCCTAAAGTCTTACAAAAGTTTGTTTTTGTATAAGAAAACACACGGTTAAGATTGGCATGTTTTATTTGCATATTTTTATATTGACAAAACTTTATCTCTTATAATACTTTTGAAAAAAGTGAAGAACTAAAGAAAATAATTCAGATCAGACAGTGTAAAAGAAGTGTATTCTAATTTTAGACGTGTTTTCGACCCGTCAAATATAAATCATTTCCTTAAAGTTTTTTCCATCTAGTGTACGGTCTACAATAAACTAACTGAATTAAATTTTTTAAATCAAATAAACACCACAAACTTATGGCAATGTCATTGACAGGTATATCACTTGGACGCAGAAAATATACCTATCTATATACTTTGCTAAAACACACTAATTTTGTTTTATATATTAAAAATGGGTACAAATCATGTAAACGTTACCGTGTTTATATACTTATATAATTTTGTTTTGTTGAATTATTATAGTATTGTATGCCGGCGAGGTTGAAAGAAGTCCATGTCATCAATCAACCGTACATATTCAACATGATATTCGCAATGTTCAAGCCTTTCATGCAAGAGAAACTCAGGAATCGAGTAAGTTATTCATACAAACTACATAATATCGAACTAACTACTAAGTCTCTCTGAACTTGATCCTTCTACTTAAAGTCAAGACTTACGCATTGGCAATTTTCGATACCAACTTTATGTAAACTGACGGCACCTTCAAAACGTTGAACTTTTCTCGTTTTATCTTCTCTTGTTTCTCATCATCTTATGATTTTTATTCACTTGTTTACTGTTTGTCTTTGTGGTATTGCCCATGCGTTTTAAAGTTTTAATTAATGTTTACATTGAATCTCATTCGAGAAAGGGAAACGCGGATGATCAACTATATCCTCTTGTTTAATTTGTCAACAATGTTGACAGAATAGTAAATATATTATAATGTAAATCTAAAACGTCGATAACTCTAAATGATGTTGTAGACTTGTTTTTAAACTCTTTTAAGGAATAAATAATAATATTTTAAAAAATGTATTTTAACAAAAATGTCCTATAAGAAACTTCTGAATAAATTATTAGACATTCTCTTAGTTCAACAAAACGATTAAGATTCTTAGAGTATGAATACGACTTAACGAAAATAAGCGTTGTAACTAAATTCATATTTGTATGGACTTTGATTTATTTTCAGTTTTCAAAATCTTATTTTCGCGTTGTAGAATAATAAATGTATACTAGAATGTAAAACACCCAGATTTTTGTTCATTGTGTAAACAATCTACAAAATGTATTGATAGGTACAGTAGATTCTGTACATTCGATGTTTTTTTATATTTTTTCCTGTGACTTGACCCGCTATAATATCTTACAAACAGCTGAGCCAATTCCTTCGAGTAACGCTAGTCAGTAGATCGGAAATCCTACCTAAAAGTTACTTTATTTTGCCAAACGTGTAAAACGTTCACCCTTTTTCTAAATCGAAAAAAAAACACAAAAAGTTAACATGTTTTTCAACTTTTAAAGTAAGACGGTCTTTAACTTTTTTTAAATTAAAACTTTGTATGGAATATTTATTATATAGTACTATTAATATTCGTTGACAAATAAAACAATGATCGAAGACCCTTTCCTCAGAAGAGACGAAACCTTATTGTTTATTTCTCTTTTCAAACAGAGTATCAGGACTTAAGATTTTTAAATTAGTGTGTAGGTATTTCTAGTCTGCGGCTACAATATGTACAATTTTTTGAAAATCTATAGTCAACCTTATATTATAAATTAGATAAATTTCTACCAGACAATGGACAGCACTGAAGGTGCAGATGAGCCAGCAAAACTTGAGGGCCAACATTAAGAAGTTAATTAAAGTTACTTAAAGTACTTGCCTGCAAGTTTCTTCAAATGAATTCCAATCAAAGTCGATCAAAATGAAGGGATCTGACCAAGGGTTTATATTATAGTTTAGAAATTAGAATAACGTTCAGTTTATAACGTCCTTGCTATATTAAACCCGTGCTCGGGATGTAACATTGATTAATATTGCATTAGTATCGTATTACGAATAGTGTGTAAACATCATATAGAAATACTACAACAAGCTTATAACAAAAATAGTATAAAGCTATTGTAACTTGATAACTTCATTTGACAGATGACGCGTGTGCAAGATATATTACTAACGTCATTTTGCCATAAACACAAAAGCACAAACTCAGGGATGCCACATCACCCATTCAAGGGTTTATTTATTAAGAAGTAAATTATTAAAATTTGTTCACAAAAGAATCAGTTCATTTAAAACTATACAGGGCGACTTATTAAATATAAGACACTGATTTTCTCTTAAAATAATTGCAGTTTTATAGGTTTTTTTTTTTTAAAACACTAGTTAATATGGTTTTACAGTATTAGACAATATTCAAATATTATTTTTTCCCACAGCACTATCAATTTTTCAAACTTAAATGGCAACGTGTACATTTTTTTAAACCACTAAAGTTTACGGAAGGTTGAGTGCGGTAGAGTAATGTGCACAGATAAAAATAATACTCTTCCCTTCTTTCCATTCTAAATTCTAGTATTTAATGACTTTAATAGTATTTATCCAAAACTGGTTATCAACCAGTCAAAATTTCCAGTAAACTATTATTTATTTAAAAAGTTAATTAAATACACACATTACAATTTTAGTTTTCAAACCTAATAGCGCTCTAGGAAATACAAAATAGGTAAATAGTAGGTAGTTTTATAATTATGTACAATAATATTAATAAGAAAGTTTTCAAAAAGAAAAACTATAAAGTGTGTTTTAAAAAAAGTATAATTTGTGTTTTCTCCTTAATGAAAATACGTCTGTAAAATAACTTTTTTTCTATTTGTTAACCGCTTCTCTCTCAATATTTACTATTCAGAATGACTAGATTAGAGAAACAAATTCATAAGTTTCAGCCCGTAGGTTGAATGTTGTCTGAGCAATTTTTTTTTTAAACAAAACCATTTTTCAGTGGGTTATCGTTGTACACAAACATAATTAATATTTTTAAAAATATTATTTTATCACATTCCCTCGATGCACCAGCGCTGAGAAAATATAAACAATCGGTATTTTACAAGTGTATATCTGTGTGTTCAAATTAAATATGCTATAATTAAATAAGAGTATTAATTTATTTTTATAAAGAGACTTGTACAAACTGGTCGGGCTGTATTTAAACCTCGCCGAGCTCTCCTCCTCTTTAATTAATACGCCTACGGATTAGTCGAAATTAATCATTTGCGTTGTATTTGTCGATTACTGTACAAATCGGTTAACCGTCATCAAATAAACTCGGGGTCGATCTATTGTTAGATGAATTTTCGAAACGAAATAACACATCATTTCGACGGTGTTTTTTTTATTTTTTTTTTTAATAGGAACTTAAAACACCTGTTGGTGGCGTTCGTGCCGGACGACTAGTTTATGGCATCACGTTTGGTCGGTGATTTTCACGGAAAACCATAGCATAGGCGAGCCGTGCAAAACGGTTTTGAGTCACGCGGTTTAGGTTGCCCACACACACACATTCAGGGTTTGTCATAAAAGCAGCTCCGAGCTAATATACATAAAACTATACGGCTGCGTTTTATTTGGCGAAAACCGGCAAACGGCTTCCCAGATAGATCCCGGACGCGGTGTACGGGGCACGGCGGGATAAAGCGACGGCGCCGCCCCGAGCAAACGGATTGTAAATAATTAATTAAACTCGAGTTCCATCGATTTGTTTATCTTTTCTTATTCGTCTTTTTCTCTAATCCTGGCTCGAACCAACGCACTGAAGGAGAAGACACCGATCTCACAAGGCGAATCTTTTGATTTAATAATAATTGAACCTCTGGTATCGGCAATCCCAAAAGTCACCATTTTAGCCAAAATCTTTTCTTTTTTGGTTGTTTATGATTCTACACGTAGACATACATTTTCTAACGTTTTAATTTGGGGATTTGCCGTTTACAATAAAAACACCATAAGTCCCGTCTTATGGGATTTCTAAATCAATGCTTCGACCCCCCCCCCCTCGAGTCTAGCCAATAATTCAAGTTCAAATTTCTGTTAATGAAACAAAATAAAAAATTTGCTCTGTCGTGTAAACCATCACGGTTATGTGCCTTATAAAATAAATGATGTGTTGTCAAACAGTTTCTTCCCCCTATCTGTGTTGGCCGATGAAGTTTTTCACTTGTCCTGTAAAATTTAGATTTTGTCACCAGCTAATATGTTTCTGAAATAACCGATTCAATTATTGATTTTATATTTTATTTCTAGATGTTTTTGCACGGTTACGATCACTCTTCCTTACTGGAGTATCTGGACGCTAAATGTTTGCCAGCCAAGTACGGCGGGCTTATGGACATCGAAACAGACCAAAGTCTAGACCTATGGCAATTACTCTGCCACTACAACGATAACTACAAAGGTAACGTCTCAAGCATTTTTTTTTTTGTTATTATCCAAGACCCACTTTGAGAGATGTCCTTAACGTCCACTTGATACGGTAGTTCTCATATTATTTATCACTCCCCAAGTCGCCATTAACATACCATTCTCAATTAACTCTAACAATCTAGTTCCAGCCTTTGCCCTTCCTGTTTTACTATTCAATTGCATTGTGTTCTCTGTCGTTTTCTAGTATTTCTACTCCTACGTGACTTCTTCGACAATCATTTCTCGTCTTGATCTCGTTCAGTCGCTGCGATACAGGCCACTTAAATCTTTTAAGTTCCACTACACTACTCTCTCTTCTTATTACCTACTCATAAGTCTGATTAAACAACATCCCGAAAACTTAACCGTATATTTAACACGATTGTTATTTTTCTACGACAATACACATTTGACACTTAGGTAGCTTAAGTTTTTACGACCATAACTTTTACTTGTAATCATTTATATCGCTCTTGTCTCTCTCGAGACTACAGAACTGATGTACTTCCTTTATTAACACATTCAGTAAAAAAGCTACCAATTTTTGTAAATTGTATTTTAAAGTGAAATCACATCTGGTATGTGTCTGCCGACACTGTAGTCTATGGGCAGAGTACTTTAATGTCATTTTCCTCTTTCTGTTTTATTTCGCTTATCACCGTCATAATTAGTTAAAACAGCCCTAAAGGTACAGCAGCTCTCAAGTCACGGTTTTAGGCGCAAACTTTTAACAGCCGTGTACAAACAAACTTGTTTTTAGCGGTGCAGTTGTCTTCTGAAAAAAACTACATTAATTTAGTAAAAGATGATGATACCAAAAATATAATTATTACTGTTAACCAACTATAAGTGTAATGGTTTTAACTTTGTTTGTTTTGTTGCAGTGACAAACGAATATGGCTACAAAAAGAAGAACAAATAGACAACAATCGAACCGAACGATCATGCCGTGAAAACCTTACAAGACATTGTGTTTAACTATCCACTACATTATAATTATTATTATATTTTACCTTAGCTCGACCTATTGGCCGGACGCTATTATTTCGTATAAACACTCAACTATTTTTATTAATGCTTTTACGCTATTTAAAGTTATAATTTGTTATTGGTTATTATTATTATTATTATTATTATTATTATTATTATTACTCAAAATAAACATCATATTAGTACTTAAGCGTGACAATACAAATGAGGTGTTTTCATTTTTGCATATATTACCATTTTGGGTAAACACTTGGAAAATCTCTTAAGCACAGCTCAACGACTTATTTATTGATTTAGTTTGTTAGACAAACGCAACCACATTCAATTTATTCTAAGGAAAACAATTCACTTCTGTGTTGTTTAGGTGTTCCGTCAAACGTTTTGACGCATCACTCTATATTGGTATTAAATTAATGCGCTGACAGCTACTTTTATTGTTTTTTTTTCTACGAAGACGGTATATTATAATATTGTCACCGTAAAATGATTTATACAACTCTGCGAGTCACTTGAATATTATACCTCTAGAATCTGACGCACGAAATTCGCTAGCAATAAAGACAACAGAGACGAGCACTTAAAAGTTATTACGTCAACAGAAATATATTTTAAGACAAATGTTTATTTTAAAGTATATGAAATATTTAATTTTTTTTTTTTTGTGTATGCATATCTGTGTGTACCGAACGAAACACGTCAAGAAAGAAAAACATTACCAATTGGAATTATTTTTTTTAAAAAACAAGAAATATTCATATCTGCATTCTGCACGCTCAGGCTTGGGTATAGATAATACCAAAGGTAAACCAGATGCGCCGAACATTGAATAGGTACCTAATGTGGGATAACATATTTTTTCGCCAACTAAAGACGACAGCTAAATATCGCTTTGAATTGAAACTTTATCTTCAGTAAATAGTTTTATTAAAAATTTGCTACTACTATCACTGGATTATTGGAAAATGCTATAAAACAAAATTCAGGTATTTTTTTTTCTATTACAAAAAATGATCAAACTAGTCAAAATTAACATTTAAAATTTAATTTGGAACTAATTCGACTATTTTTGTTTTAAAAAGTTATAGAACGCCGTTATTTTATGATGAAAAATATATACATTTTTCGGGTGTTTTCCACGATTTTGAAGGGGAAGGAGTGAACTTTATAATTTTATGGCCACAAAATAATACCTTATAAGTACGATTTCTGAACAAGAAGAAATGTGATCAACGGTTTTGGAGATAAGTGCAGACAAAAAAAAAAATTAAATAAAAACTTATCATTGTAAAAAAAAAACACCTTAGCTCCACGTCGAATATAATAATGAAAATAAAGTGACAGTTGTATATATTTTTTTATTATTGAGACTATTTAATTTAAGTCATAACTGTTAGTATTAACAATGATGGTTACCATTTATCATGCTTATGCATAAAAAAACCGCTTTACTACACTCATAACGATTTAATAAAAATAAAAAATTCTCTGTAAACAAATTCATACCTTTCATACCTTTACAGTAGAAATATTAAACATTACATTACAAAATACAAACAATTGGAAACCCGATGGTAGGAAAATATAAAAGTAAAATAAAACAGGCGCTAACCGACGGTCATAGGATTTACGATCCCAGGTAATGATGATAATTAAAATTGCGTCAAAATGGCCAATTAATACATTATATGTAATATAATATCTACCTCGAAAACCCATTTGGCCTTTGACGCACATCTAAAGGCTATATTAAAAAAATTATTCCTGCTGGTGTTTCTCGCTGATTTTATTTATTACACAATATACTTGCATATTACATTAAATATAAATTCAACTAAGCAGATTACTGAAAACTTTTCTAACACTATACTGTGACTCAGTAAGCTTAAGCTGTTTAACACCTAACAATTAATTATTATGTGGGCATTATAATCTATACTATAGTTTAGTATATTATGGGTAAATCCTAAGTCCGCAAATTCGAAAAATACTATTACTTATTTTTTATATTAATTAGGACTTACCTGTCACTAATCTTAAATCAGCACACTCAGACAGACTTATAATTAATTTACAAATTTTACCGGATTTATGATTAATGATAATTGTTTTAGAAGGGATGTTTCGGTATAAGGTCTAAAAATGATTTCTTTCAATAACATGTTGGTGAATGTGTAAATTTGTTTTACTCTTGGCTGTAGTTATATTTCAGTTTTAAAATTGATCAATATTTAGCATCTCTAATTACCTATAAGTATCTCTAAAGTATGTATTATAATACATTTTTTTTTTAATTAGCTCTCGATTCAAACCTAATTATTTTATAGATTAACTGACTATTTTGGTCATTGAGATAATTCGATTTAGGATATTATATTTTATAAAATATTTGTGCTTTCGTAGTTAATTTTTCTCTAATTTCAATTGCTCTTTTAACTTATTCAAACATATTTTCAATCCTTTCTTTCTTGTAGAGTTTTCGGTCAAAATAACTAATAAATGTATGTCCTAAGCTAACCAAAACTGTACTGACTTCACTATGTAATAGCACAATAAATAACTTCTAATATGCATCATTTTTTCACCTGAAATAGTAGCGGTAATAGAAGCTGAACAACGTTAGATTACGTAACTCTTTCGGTTAGTCATAAAAATTTAAATGTTTATCATTATATTCATATGCTTCAGGCTGCCTTGAGATTGTGCCATAATACTGGTTTTAGTTGTATATAGATTCCTCTAGGTTTCTACCTCCAATATGCAAAGAACATTAAAACAAAACTTTTATACCTAACTTTATATTTAGGGATATTTGATTATAACAAGTAAATAACTTAACTTACTAGGAAATGTATAGTAAAATAATAGTATAAAAACAGCTAATTTAATCTTATAAATAAAGCATTTAAGAGTAACATAAGCGTTTGCAGTTAATTTTTCCCCTTTAAATATGTATTATTCGTTATAAAAGGGAATTATCTCTTTGTAATTTAATTTTGAAATAACGAGCTTTTTGTAAATTAATGTGTAAGAAAAACATAGGTACAAGTATTCATTCCGTATTTTCTATTTTAACTGTTGTTTCTCTTTCATATTGATATTTATATGGCTAAATGTGACTTCATTAAGCAAAAATGTGTGTATTATAAAAAAAATTGAAGTTACACCACTTTTACAAGAAACGACCTATATTTTAAAGACATTTTCTAAGTAAGTAAATTCAAAATTATTTATATAATGGAAAACAGATACAAGCGACTTTATGTCGGGAACTAATTAATAATCTCAAACTGAATTCGAAACCCATTTGATTCGGCTACTTAACGACATTTGAGTGGCAGAAAGCACAAGACACGAAACGGCTACAAAGAGGAGACTATCACCAAATATTTGAAACTGAAGTCGAATCGATATGAATAATCTAACGACTTACCAATTACTAATAAATAAATTAACAATTATTGCATCCGAATAAATTTAATCAAGAAAGATGTGCGTCGCGTATACCTATAATCAAACACGGCGGTATTTTCGTTTACATAAAATATGTGCTTATAGAAGTTTCCATCTTATCTTCTTTTTCATTACCCTACATTCTCTCTCTCTTCTCTCTCCCTTCAAACAAAAATAATCTTTTAAACTTTCTCTCCTCTATGGGTACTAACAACCCTTTCAACATTTGTAACTTCCAGATTCATCCTCGACGCTGGCTTTTCCATTTAAGTGTAAGTAAGATATGATCATCATTCTTTAATTTTGATTATATTTAATAATATTTTAGATACGGTTCCTGTGTAATTTCTCCGGTTTTGTCGGATTTTTACACTTGAAGTTCTTTTTGTTTATGCATGAGTATAGATTCATAATTTAATAACTATTTTACTTGTATCATTTAACAATATGTTGTTATTCTGGTTTTAATTCACATAAAAAAATATATATATTACGGTGTTTTATGCGAATAAGCTATTAGGTTGCATTCTTCCAAGATTGTGTGTACTATATCTACCTGTACTGAAGTCTGAAAGTGATGTTCGACAGGTTCAATTGCCACTGCCTTAAGATGTCTGAAAAAGACTTATAAGCCCTACTATTTTTACATTAATAAGATCAAGAGCATCACTACTGACGGATAATTTATACAATTATCGTTTTTGATCAAACATAAAACAATAATTCGAACAAATAATTATTTGACCACATTTTTTCGACCGTTTCTTCATCTGCGGCCTAATGATTTTCTAGTTTCGACTAAGTGGACCATTCCCGACTCTAGTTCTTCCGTCGCAGTAGTAGGATATAGTACTGTTGTTGTTTAGTTATAAATGGAGAGGGTCCAGAAAGCAATGTCTAAGAGCATTATATGGTATTATAGGTTTATAATATTATAGAATGTGCTTTATTGTTACGGTACCCAATCCTGTTTGTCCCGTTTAGTTTGCTACCGATATTACTGTGCAGCGAACGTTCGCACGTTTTATGAAATATTTGTTGTGTACTTAGGTGTTTCCAAAGTCACGTTTACACAGTCCGATTACTGGGAAAAAGGATGTTGTTTATTATATTAAAAAAAAAAACGCAACTGCTCTTATAAATTATAATATTTACTCTGGCGCTTTATCGGCGGATACGGTGCATAAGTGCGTGGATTATTCATAATAACGCGAGCGTCTCGGATTCGTAGTAGGTATTAAAACAATAATAATAAAATAAACATTATTTCCAACAATAAAAATAGTGTAAGAACTCGTTTATGTGTGTGTGTGTGTGTGTGTGTGTCCGGTCTACCGGATGTAATATTAAAAACCCCGGGCCAAGTATACGAAACTCCGGGTACATGCGAACACACCCTGGCCGAACAAACAGACATCATCCGACGATTATAGTTTATACTCATATCGCTTTAACTTGCCCTCCCCCTCGGCATTCATTTTGGCCCTGGAAAATCGATTGCGTCCCGTTTTTGCATTATATTGTTAAACGATAGCGACGGCCGTGTGTTCGATCGGAGTACGACCGAAACGCCGCCGCTTTGAGTGTTACGGTTAAATTTGTTCGGCTGCTAACAATAATAATAGCCTAATAATTATTGTAAAAAAAATAAAAATAAATTTGTCGCTTAGGTACACTGCACGCGGCTGCCGTTATTCCATGGATATGGTTTTCACATCGCATTTTTCCCCTCGCCCCGGCCGAAGTCAACGATAC